GAATTGAGCATTAAGACCTGCAGTGTGAACGTAGCCTTTGTTATGATTGAGCCACTCAGAGGTGAACTTGCTGGTATGTTACTGATCATTGTCCTGTTGCATAACCCAACTGGGCTTAAGCTTCAGGGCATGAACTGATTGCCAAACATTCTCCTTCAGGATTTTCTGGTAGAGGGCAGAATTCATGGGTCCATCAATTATGGCAAGCTGTCCAGGTCCTGAAGCAGGAAAGCAGCCCCAAACCATCACAGTACTGCCATCATATCTGACTGTTGATATGTTCTTTTTGTAAAATGCTGTGTTCATTTAATGCCAGATGCAATGGGACTTAAACCTTTTTTTAAAGAAAAAATCAGTTTTTTTCTCGCCAGCCCACAGAATATATGTTGGGAATCCTGAAGATGCTTCGGACAAATTTGAGACGAGCCTTTATCTTCTTTTCGGTCAGAAGTGGCTTTTGCCTTGGAACATGGAGGCCATGTCTGTCCATTCTCTTTCTTATTTCTAAATCATGATCACTGACCTTAATTTAGGCAAGTGAGGCTTAAAGTTTTTTAGATGTTGTTCTGGGATCGTTTGTGACTCCTGGATGAGTCGTTGATATGCTCTTGGTTGGCCGGGCACTCCTGAGAAGTTTCCACCACCAAGTTTTCTCCATTTGTGGATAATGACTCTCCACACTGGAGTCCCAGAGCGTTAAAATAGCTTTTTAACCCTTCCAGACTGACAGATGTCAACGTTTGTTGCTTTTTGAACAAACAAAGCTTACTTTGTCTTCGGGTTCTGTTTAAGTGGTTTCTTGATTTAAGAGGTCTGGCAGTAATCAGGGCTGGGTGTGGATAGTAATGTGATTAATGCGATCACTCAGTTAATTCGTGATTTAACAAGAGGGTGGCAATTCCTTTTTCCCACAGGACCAGGTAGGTTTGGATTACTTTTTCCCTTAAAAAATGAAATCATCACTTAAAAAACTACATTTTGTATTTACTCTGGTTATCTTTGTTTAATATTAGAATTATCTTGATTATGTAAAACAGGTAACTATGACAAATATGTAAAAAAAAAAAAAAAGGGAGAATTTTTTTCATAGCACTGTACTTGTCCGGTTATAGAAATAGCTTTATAGAATGACTGCAAGGAAAATGCTAAATATCTGTTTAACTTGCAAGTGAACCACATGAATAGCTAATGAATTCATTTGGATTCGAGTGTCAGATATGCGAGTGAGTCAGAGGAAGGTGCAGGCTCCTACAGCGAGCAGGCGGTCTCCGGTTTGCAGTCGTCCATCTTTTTGAGCAGCTCCACCTTCTATAATCTTGGTAATATAGATGCTGTTGTCTCCTGGGATGTGTTGATTCCCAATCCCTCCAGCAATGCTGAATCCCAGTCCTAGGTGAATAACAAAGACAGCCAGTGCTTTAACAAAAGGATCACCCCAGACTGCATGCTTTCATTCCAGGCCCTATTTGTAAGATTATCTTCATGTTATTTATTACCTTTTAAGCAGCACTGCAATCACTTTCAAAAAGAATATGTTAACACTGACTCTAACCTTTGGGCCCTTTCAGCAGGTTGACCTCCAGAATCGTCTCAGGTGGGGCCTGTCTCCGTCGAACCAATAACCTCACCACTGGTCCTGCCTCTTTCAAGGCTTCCACCGCCCGGCTGTGAACCACCTCAGACACATCGACATCATTCACACGCAGCACGCAGTCGTTAACCCTGCGAAAGAAAAGGTTTAAACGTCACGTGTAAAGCGGATGTAGTTCTGTGGAGTTTACTGACTGCATAAAAAAGGGAGACCCAAGCAAAGCCAGTATAATCAGAAACCTCAAAAGAACATGAAAAAGAACTTCCATATCATAATTTCTGCATGTTTCAGGCTTTGGTCTTCCAGTGAATCATAAGTCTGAGGAAGCACACAGAGCCTGGGGGCAGAGGGCTGTAGAAACTCTGCCTCCCACACAGCGCTGCCTGGCGGGACGCAACGTTGGTGAGCGTTAAAGATGAGAGTAGAGAGGTTAGAATAGAGAGAGTATAGTGGAGCTTAGTAAGAGTTGAAGAAATAGGAGGCAGCAGGAGGAAGACGGTAACTTACCCCAGCCGCCCATCCATAGCAGCTGCTCCTCCAGGGATGATCTTGGTGATGAAGATCCCTGGATCATCAGGAATGTGGGGATTGTCTATTCCTCCAGCAATGCTGAAGCCCAGACCAGAGTTCCCCTGAAAATATTATGATTAACATTTTCAGCGTGATACGATAAACAGCGAACAAAGTAAGCTCAAGGTTAGTGCAATATATCTCTTTTAGTGTATTTAAATCATGTGATAGATGCAAAATGATCCAGAGATTTCTCCTGATGCCTGTTTCTGTGGAGGCTCGTGTGTGTGACCGCACGTCCCCACGTGTGACAAATTGAAATGCCATTAGAAGAGGGAGCATGAACCCACAGAGAGATATCTGTGTATGAAGTACATTAAAAATCTGGGGTAAAGATGAGCTCAGAGTCATCATTTCGGTTGCCTGATACAATGCTTCTCACTCTCTGCAGGAGATGGATACTGCCACCTCCTGCCGTCCCTGTCCCTGAAACGACAGAGGACCCATTTTGATCCAGCGGGACCAGGCACACTGCTGCATCTGACAGCCGTGGCCACAGAGACAGGCAGCAAACAAGACAGCTGAGAAAAGACTTCGCTTTATTATTTTCTATAATTAATGAGCAACAGTCGCAACAAATTAGGACAGAGGGAGGCTGAGGCCTCCCAGTGTGCTGCTCCGGAGCCAAGAGGAGTACACTGGGCCTTACCACCAAAAGTTACACACCCACAGACCTTTTAAAGTGTGCCTGTGCATAGTTTATTTAAGCTTTCTACATGGAGAAATGCCACTTAGAGCGGAAGGGGCAAAGAAATATGCTGCATCTACCGTGGGTGGAATAATGAGAGCAGAAATGTACAGTATAGCTCTGCCAGTAAACTTGAGCCACCGCTGACAAGTGCAGCAGTGGCTCAGGTTTACAGGAAGGTGCTTTACATTCCTGGCGTCTGCTGATGACATGTGTATCAGGATTATGTAAAAAGCCATGCCTCGCTGGCGTTAATGTGGGTCACATAGGACATCACACTTACGACGTTGCTAATGCAGCGAGAAAACGCCTGTCTTCACTTGAATAAAATTTTATATAAATTAACAATCATTAAGATTTGTCTTTGGTATTCGTTTAGACTGAGCTGCTTACCACCACCTAGTGGGGAGAAATCCATCAATCATCAGAATGAGGATACTGTGGGAAGAAATGCATCCACGATGTGTAAAACTTACCCTCTCCAAAATGATCTCTTCATATTTATACATCCCATCACTTCCATTAACCTGCCAAAAACAAAACACAGAAAACGAACAGCAGGGTTAGTGACACGTCTGAAGACAAAGTATGTAGTTTGCCAACACGTAAGAAAAATGGGACGTGTACAAATGCTTCGGCAGAATCCTTCATTGTATGTCCGAAAAAAGAGAAAAAGATCAGACTGAATACGGGAAACCCAGTAAATCGGGATTAGTGTCAAAATATGGCTTTACTATATATATGAAAACCGCCACACATTCCTTAATGCTGTAAATGAGAGGTGCATTTCTTTCTTAAAATGCAAACGCTGTAAGAATGCATGCGCAACTGCCGAATGCACAATCCCAACAAACGGGCAGAGTCAATAGGAAAATGGATGTCGGTCCACATGGCAAACAGCATGTTGCTGCCAGGAGGAGGCCTTTTCATCCACACACACTCGCAAACATACAAACATGTTCATGCACTGACACAGAGGAAGTGTGAATGAGAGGGATATATACTGTAACAGACAACGAGAACAGATACTTACATAAGGGCCTGCATCTAGTGAGTCTGCGTTGACAATGATGGGGGGAGGGTTGGCCTGTGAATATGAAGAGATACACATTATCTCAGTGTGTGAGGCTGGCAGCACGCAGACGTAATGCGGTACACACACTATCGCTTGGGAGCAAAATGAACGGATGCCACAGGAACAGGCAGTGAGTCTCCTTGGGAGTGAGACTGGGGAGAGAGATGAGGGTGGGGTGGGAGGGGTTGAGAGGGGGGTGTGAGGACTGAGAATGAGGACTGGGGCAGTGAGACTGCTGCTTATTAACCGTCACAGCCAGACATCCTGCGGTCACCTCATAAAACAAACCAGCTTGTGTTCCAGCTGTTGGCACAATACGTTTATCCCACATCTACTTCCACGTAATGAAAGCACGGAGCATCGTCGAGAAAAACGCATGAATGTTGGCTCGGTGCGCTGCAAGGTTTACGGAATTACACACTCTACACAGTAATCTCCTCTCACGTCTGTTATTCTACATGCAAACAGGTAGTTTTTTAATCTCTCTTTATGCAAAATATCTGTCTGTC